AATCTTCAAACTGTATTTAACTTATTTCGAACAATTTATAAAATTTTTTTTTTCAAATTTAAAATTAATTGTTTTACAAAAAGATAATAGAAAAAAACATTTGTATACGAGGGTCATGTCTTCCCCTTCTGAGACTTGAGTAAACTCAAAACTTTAAAACTTCATAACTCCAAAACTGTAACAGATTTAAATTTAGGATTTTTGGATTAATAGTTTATACACAATTATTAACTAATTTATATTATTTAAATTTAAATAAATTTATTTTTTTAATGTTATTTTAAATTTTTTGTAATATCTAGTAAGTTTCTTCAACTAACGTGATATGGCACCACCTACCATAACTGATTTTTCAGCTACCATGAATGAGAAAATTCTATATTTTGATTTTAATTTTATTTGTTTACCTTAATAAAAAAATGCATAAGTTTAATATGATTACTAAATAAAAAAAATTGGTTTTTTAGTTTTATAAATATTATCCACTAAAGAATTTCTCTGAATTAGAACTGTTTCTTCTTAAGTATTTTTTTTTAAGGTATTTTTTTTTTTTTTTATTCTCCGCCAAAATTTATAGTAAGTGCTCCTGCAGTTGTTCGATCGAAATATATAAACTTAACTTTTGTAACTTTTTCCAAATTTTTTATTTTTTTTCAAATCTTGAATTATTAGTATTATAATTCATTTCATATCATAAATAAAATATAAAAAGTATATCAAATTAATATTCCCTAGGGTTAAATTACCTTTACTTGGTAATTTAGATTAACCTAAATGGCTTTTTAGAGAAAAAAATAAACAAAATAAAACACGTCTAAAATAAATGGTAAGTGCTTACTAGTATAATTTTTGTAATCGCCTACCATGTCAAGGATTAAACGATGTTATACAAAAAATACTACTATTTTTTGATAAAATTTAAAGTATTCAATGTTTTTACAATTTTACACTTTTAGCAAAGAAAAAATATATTAATTTTAGCCATAAAAAAAAAATTTTTTTGATCGTAAAAGATTTTCTTAAAAAAGCAATAAAAAATTGTTCACAAATAAAAAATATCTAAATACTATAAAAATAAATCTTTTATGAAATATATTTATACTTAAATAAGTTATAACTTATTTCAGTATAAATATATTTTCTAAAAGATTTATTTTATTTAGATGTTTTTTATTTGTGAACAATTTTTTATTGCTTTCTTAAGAAAATCTTTTACGGTCAAGAAAAAGTTTATCTGTTGTTTTTTTTTATGGCTAAAATTAATATAAAAATAAATCTTTTAGAAAATTTATTTATACTGAAATAAGTTATAACTTATTTCAGTATAAATATATTTTATAAAAGATTTATTTTTATAGTATTTAGATGTTTTTTATTTGTGAACAATTTTTTATTGCTTTCTTAAGAAAATCTTTTACGGTCAAAAAAAAGTTTATCTGTTTTTTTTTTTTATGGCTAAAATTAATATAAAAATAAATCTTTTAGAAAATATATTTATACTGAAATAAGTTATAACTTATTTCAGTATAAATATATTTTATAAAAGATTTATTTTTATAGTATTTAGATGTTTTTTATTTGTGAAAAAATAAGTAATTTTTTCAAGTTTTTTTTTTTTTATATATTATTTTAGTATTGTTTTATACAAAACTAATTAGTTTTGTATAAAACAATACTAAAATAATATATTTAAAAAAAAAAACTTGAAAAAGTTACTTATTTTTTTAAAAACCACATTAGAAGGTTCTTCACAGTAGGGAAAGACATGACCCTAAATAAAACTAAAGGTAATGCCTTCTTTACTTGGCAATTCACCTAAAGGTGAAGTAAGTTTATGAGATTCTCTAATTAAAGTTTAACAATATTTTTAACATGGTACAAATTCATGTCATCAATTCACTCATCTGTGCTCCAACTCTTGAGATAAAAATAACTTTAAAAAAGCATGTTTAATAGGTAAATAACTAAAAATTCAAATTCAATTTTTTTTTTCTATGATGCCTGAAGATTTAAAATGTGAGCTGTTAAATATGAGTTTCAAACATGAAACAAGTGTCTAGAGCAACTTCCTGCGTTTAAGTAGAGAAAATTGATGTATATGCATTATTAATGAGGTGGTGATGTTGTGGTATTCTTGTGTCTTGCTTCATAAGCAAGAAGTTCTTAGTTTGATACCTTTCACATCCATAGTAGTAACATGCTTAACTCTGCGCAACGACCTTGTTTGTCAAGGATTGTGTTTTGGAGTTAAAGAGTTGAGACAGTGTTGTAACCACAATAAAGTAGCCTCCTGTAGTAAGAAGGACTGTAGTGGCCTTCTTAGCCTTATGGACAATAACAATCAAAAGAAGTCTAGGAAGTGTTCCATTAGGGTCTGTATTAAGCTATCAATGTGCTTTAGTCCCACCAAGATAATGTTTGCTGCAGTTTATCAGAACCTTTAAAAATTTAAATGGTAAATAATACATTGAATATCCCACATTTCCTTTTAATTAAATAGATAATTTAATAACAAGATAGAAATTCAAAACAATTTGGCAATAGAAGAAATTGATGCACTGCATCAAGTTAAAGAAAAAATCTCCAAATGGTTTTTGAAGTTTGGCAATATTGTCTATGGTGAAATAAAAAACTTTAAAGAATTGCATTTCATACTTTCCTATTGTAAATATTATCCAAACTTTATATAGACTGGCTATAAAATAGTTGTAGATCCCTGTGGTTTTGTATTTGATGAAAAAACTTTTTTGAGTGTTCACCTTATAGGAAAGTTAAGTCTGGTACTGATTATGGAATAAATTAAATTAGATGCAGCGAAGAATACAGTAATCTTTTTCAAAAGATTAGTTTTCATAACAAGAAAACATGTATGTTAATTGATAATTGCACTAAAAAAAAATTTAACAAACAAAAACTATAGCTGTTATGATCAGATTCAAATGCTACTTGGATTAAAAACCCAAACATGGTGTAGTTCTGTCTTTTATACCTAAAAAGGATTAATAATTGATTGTATTGCGTATGATAAAATACATCTGGAAAATCTAAGGGAAAGAGTATTAGACTTTAAGTATATTTTGAATTAATTATTTGCAAAATCAACAACAATAATTTACATTGAAGACAAATATTTTATTAGCATGTACTCAGTCTATTGTACAGTATACGCATTTCACATTTATGCCATAACAAGTTTTAAGTAAATGTATATGTGTGTATACAGTGATGTGTAAAAGTTTAGCATTTTTAATAAGTTTTATGTTGATAATGAGTAATAGTTAATTTATCTATATATAACTTTATTTTATTTTTGATTAGCTAAGTAGACACTAAACACAAGAAATATATTTCAATAAAGATTGTGACTGTTAATATTTTAATGGGTAACATTTCAATTTCAAGACTTCAGAGGTCCATTTCGGGATTACCTTGCTCAAAACACAATTCAAGAATTATCTCATGCAACCGGACATTCAATTACATCTTTAAGCGCATCAATTATTCTTACTTTTGCAAAGGCAACTTTGGTTTTTAATATATGTGACAGATTTTTTATAAGATTTCTGGTTTTTTTAATAAGATTTCTTTTTTAATAAGATATCTGGGCAATTCATAAAAAAAAACATTCGGTTCAGGAATACTTTGTTGCAACACTGTAATAACACAAACAAGTTTGCTTATGTGCTCTTCCCATTCCCCTTTGCATATGGATTGCAATTTTTACCAGTCTTCCAAAACTTGGTTTGTCTCAGTTAAGATACACCAGGTTGAGATATTTCTAATTGAGAAAAAATAGTTTTATTAGATAGATGAATCTTCTTATGCTTTTTCAAATAATTTTACGTCTTTATATTTTTTTAAATATTTTTGTTATATTATTTTAGGATTAACATTTTTTCATTAGCAGTAGACTAAAATAATGGGTGTTTTTGAAAAAAGTTCTTAAGTTAAAAATGAAATGAATACCGTGTTTAACTTAATTATTTAGTGCTTTTTTATATGTAATAATTACTCATCTATAACAAACTGTTTATTTTTTATACTAAAAATTATGACTTAAAACAAAATAACTTGACAAATAGATTGAACTGATAGAAACATTAAAGTTTTTAAATTTTTTAAAATTTAGTACTAATTACAATAATCAAAGATACTAATAAATTTGTCATCTTTATTTATATTTCAAATAATTTTAACATTATCTTTGAATTTCCAAGTGGCTAACTATTATCATATTTTAAACTAATTTATTTATTTTAATTTCATTGTAGTGTTTGTAAACTTGAAACCTGTTTGTTATTTGTGAAACTAAGGGATGTATGAAGATATACTTTCATAATGTTTTTAATTGCTGCGAAAAATATCTTTCTTCCTTGCACTTATAAAAAAAAAATATAATACAGATTTTTTTTTTGGATAGATAAAAAACTATTGATTTAAACGTGCAAATGAGTCAAAGTATTTCGACTCATTTGCGTAAGTAAATAAATGCTTTTTTATCTATACAAAATTGCATGTTTTTTGTGGCACTTTTAAGCATAGGGGAAACTCAAACTTTAGGTAGATTTATAATTATACTAGAAAAAAGCCCTAAACGTTAAGCCCAACCTCTAATATGCGTGCAATCCTCATTCAAGTTTACATTTATTGAAAAATTTTATTAATAATTATTTGGTGTGTAGAAATTAATATCATTTTTAGTCAAGCTTTAAACTTTAGATGGTCATAAATTTCGAACACCAAAAAGTTATTAGAAGAAACTATAAAATTGTCAATGAATATAAATTTATTTTTTTGCGGCTCCCACAATTAGCGTAGGAGGTTTACATTTAGCATTTTGTTTTTTCCTCTATTTCAATTTTTGCAATTTTTTGCATAGCATTTTCATTTGTCAAAGATATGATATACAAATTTGGAATTTTCTTTATCCCTAAACTAACCTGTTTTAAACACCAAAAATACTTCTGTGCATTATTATAATCATTTATTTCATTTTTTAGGGTTATGGAACTTACTTCTATGGTCCTGAAAGTTATTATGAAGGGGAATGGTATAAAGGATTGCGAAGTGGATGGGGAAGAATGTATTATCCCGATAAAACTGTGTATGAAGGTGAATGGAAAAATGATATGAGAAATGGAATGGGTATGTTGAGGCTAGGTAAGCAAACAATTGTTTTTTTTTTGTTGTTGCAGTAAAACACGATTTTACGAATAAATAATAATTGCAGTGCAATTAATTTTTAATCGTAATTTAGCTAACGAAAATCGTTATGAAGGAGAATGGAAAAATGATAAAAAACATGGAGACGGTAAATTTTATCATTTGGACCGAGGTCACCTTTTTATCGGAACTTGGTTTGAAGGAATATGTAAATGTGGAACGATGGAAGATTTTAATCGAGAAAATGCTGTTCAGGTTACCCGTTATCTTATACCTCAGGTACTTTTTAATAAGTTAGTATATATATATATATATAATTTTTTTAATAAAATAAAAAAAATAGTTATTTAAAAAAGTAGTAATATTAACATGAAATAAATAGTTAATTGAAAGCGATTTTTCAATAATAAATTTGATTTTTTTAATTTGATTTTCAAAGCTTTATAGAATGTTTTATGAATTTCATATCAATTTTTTTTTGTCTCTAAGTTGATGTTGAAAAATGCAGACGATGTTCTCCGTAAAAACAAACTCGCCATGACCGAAACCTCAGAGTAGAAGAATAGAATTTTGAAATCCATCAAAGTGAAAGTTTTTTTTATTAAATGTACTTTAGGACTTATAAAATATGATAATTAAGTTATTGATCATATTTTCTATTATTATATATATTTTTTTCTTTTATTTGAATTTGGTTTAAGAATAAATCCGTGTTGCATAGTTACATCTACAAAATTTGAAAAACTAAATTGATCTAAAAAAAAAATCTACTTAAAAATACAAATAAATTCACTATGGCCCTAATTGTTTTTTTATTTTTTTCAATGTATTTTTTAACCAAATTTAGAGATTTTAATTTTCAACCGTTCTAATAACTTAATTTTCAACCAACAATAGGCAATTTTCATTTCAACCGACTATTCTGTAGCTTAAACTTTTTTTTTAACATTTTGCTCTATAGATGCAGCGGAGTATAGATAGATTGTAGTGTGGTGTATACAAACAGCGGAGTATTGATAGATATAACCGAATGGAGCACTCGAATGTACAAACGTAGACTAAGGGTTTGTGCGGCCATGGCGCAGTGGTTAAAGCACTTGCTTTATAAGCAGGAGATCCAGGTTCGAAACGAGCCTCGGACATTTTTTCACATCACGGTAAGGAAGGAGGCGTGAAGTTCCTGGTTAAATGTACTTCCGCGGTACTCTGTGACAAGACTGTTAGGTCGTCTTGGGGCACCTAAATAACAATTAAAAAAAAAAGGGTTTGACTAGGCAGCCATTATTAATTAGTAAAAAACTCCTTCAGAAATTCGAAATTTGAGTCACCAAAATAATATACAAAATACATAGCAAAATCACTGAGGACCAGAGTGGCCACTGGTGTGAATTGTTTCCCAGATCTGATTATTCTTTTTCATTAGTTAGACATATATTAGTTAGACATTAGTAGACACCATTTATGAAATTCAAAACTTATGGGATTTTGGAATTTTTAAAAAGGTATCAAAATTAAAATTTGAAAATAATAGCTATAACTTATCCTACATTTATAAAGTACAAAACAAATAGGTTTTATGTTAATTGGTTAAAGAAGTCTGAATTATACTTCTTTTTGATACCAACCATATTTTTTGCTATTGTTATTATTTTTAATCTAGGTGCTCTAAGAAGTCCTAATGGTCCAATTATAGAACACTGCAGAATAGCATTTTACTGGGAAGTTCATGTCTCTTTTGTTACCAATGATGCATATATAGCCAAGGCGTCCAACTCTTGCACCAAAACAAGCCAATAAATAACAAAAAAATATACAAAAATTTTTTAGTTTGAATAATATTATTCAAATTAAAAAGTTTGTGTATATTCTTTTTTTATTTATTGGCTTGTTTTGGTGCAAGCGTTGGACGCCTTGGCTATATATGCATCATTGGTAACAAAAGAGACATGAACTTCCCAGTAAAATGCTATTCTGCAGTGTTCTATAATGAATATACGTGTAAAATAAAATAAAAAATTTTTGTTTGATTAATATTAATCAAATTAAAAAATTTCGTATATTCTTTTTTTATTTATTGGTTTGTTTTGGTGCAAGCGTTGGACGCCTTGACTATATATGCATCATTGGTAACAAAAGAGACATAAACTTCCGGGTAAAATGCTATTCTGCAGTGTTCTATAATTATAATCGAGATTATATATTATATATATCTATAACGAGATTATATATTCGAGATAATATATTATATATATATATATATATATATATATATATATATATATATATATATATATATATATATATATATATATATATATATATATATATATATATATATATATATATATATATATATATATATATATATATATATATATATATATATATATATATATATATATATTATAGATAATCGAGATTATATATTATATATCTCTATAACGAGAACATTATAATGTTCTCGCATATTCATGTTTCCAAGACCTTAAGCTATATATGAACAACCCTAGTCTCAAAAAGTTATACTATTTACTTTAATCAAAACCATATAGCCTTTAAGAGAAAAGCTACATCAGTGAATTAAAAAAGACTATTTAGAAATTAACTGGGAATTTATTAAGTAAGAGGGTTAAGTTAGGCTAAGTAAGAGGGTTGTTTTTTATTAAGAGTAAGAGAGTCTTATGTGAATTAAATAAAACCATTTACAAACCAATTGCGATCTATTTAGAAACCAATTGAAAATCTCTGAAGACGTACTAATTGAAAGAGCTCACCGCATTGGGAAAATAAATGAAAATAAATCTCCGAGCACTATACTATATTTTCAAAAATAAAAATAAAATCTTAACTCTATCAAAAAAACTCAAAGGAACCGGAATATTCATTAATGAAGACTAGGCGAACGAAGCGATGGAAATAAGAAAAAAGCAATAGAAAGATTGTAAAAGATTTCAAAAGAAAGGTAAATTTGCTATTATCAAATATGATAAAATATTCGTCAGAGATTTTTGTAAATAATTTTAATTTTAACTAAGTACTTAATCGAGATTTGTGAAATAGTCCTGTACATTTTTTATTATCCTAGCACGTTTTAATTTACCGCACTTTACACAATTACAAACGAAAACAAAAACAAAACAAAAGATTTTGAAACGCTGCACAGTGGGCGGAATTTCAAAAAACCTGGCCAAAAGTCAAAAAATGATTATAATTAATGGAAAATTTCTGTATAGCATTTTTTTGAATCCCTAACTTTGAATTTTACATAAGTGTACCAAAATTCAATAATGGCAGATCCAAAATGGCGGTGTTTTAAAAACATTAATCATTAGAAATGCCTTTGGGCCTTCGTGTTTAACCAATTAGTTCTAATTCGACATTTAAGTTCCATAGACTAATGTATTATTTACATTATATATACAAACATTATATATAATACCGATATATAATGTATTATGACCGTATTATTATGCCGCAATGTTAAGAAAAATAAATTGAAAAATTCATTATTTATTCTACTTATTTATTTGTTCAAGGAAAACAAGGAAAACTTTTATTTGCATCATTTATCATAATTGTTTCATTTATATTACTTTAAAATAAATCACCACTGTCATTTGAATAATTTATTATTGAAATGTTGTTGATAAACTCAATCACAGACAAATGAGTTTCAGAGTTTTCGTTAATCTCCGGAGGTAATAACATTTGTAAAGCTTGAGAAGACAAAGATCTGCTAACTTTTGCATGAGATTTTAAAAGTGAAGATATTACAGGATCTGACAAAACCAGAAGTCTGCAAAAAACGTCGTGCATTGTATTTTTTCTGGAATTTTTCGTAGAGAAATCTTCGCGATATTTTTTTAAGTCTTGTTTCTCGATTCCTGTGCATCCTCAGATAGTTGTCCTATGGGTAGTATTGCTGTTTTTGTTATTGAGGCTCCATGAATAAGTACTTTGTGTACTGTTGTAGGCATGTTGTACCAAGGATACTTTTCAACAAAAAGTAGTGCAGTTTCGGTAGAATAGTTATCAAGTTTGTCTGCGTCTATAGGAAAGCCACTAGATAATACCTGTAAAATTACATGAAACCGATTTATTAGATCTAAATCCATTCCTAGAATATCAGCAGACACTTGTGAGTTTTTAAAAAATCTTCGAGCTGTATTTCCGTCATTTGTATTACCGCATCCTGGTTTCGGTCGATCAACTATTAACCCTAGCTGCAGCTTAAAAACATTCTGGATTAACAATATTTGTTGTAATATTATACTTTTTTTAATTTCAGAACGTGCTTGCCATTTTTTTATTCCAAGTTTATACCCAAGATGCAAAAAAAATTCAAAAAAGCGAATACATGCGTGCAACGTTGATAAACCGTATTCCAATTTTGATTCGTCAACTTTTATTTCTTTAACGAAATTGATATTATTGAATTGACTCGAAGTAGCAGAACACAAATAACACCGCATTGTTGGTTTTGTCAATGTTATTGCATTGCAAACTTTTCCGTCAATCATTGTCATAACCAATTTATAATGTATTTTAATTTCTATTTTATGTTGGACAATGATGGGAGGAACCAGTGATTTAATTTTATCTTCAATATAGTCTTTTTCATTAATGCTTGTATGGACATTTTCGTGAAGAAATTGCAGTCTGATAGGTCGGCAAAATCGAGTAGATGAGGGTGTCCTATTTTTCCATAGAATAACATCTTGACCTAAAACTGAATTTGTACACAAAAGTTGTAATGGTACAAGTGAAGTCAGAAAAACATTTGCATCTGAGTTTCTTCCATCGGCAAATCTCTGTTTATATTCGCTATGACCGGAACGGCCATCAAACCCCCACTTAAAAATTAAAATAAAATTTGATAAAATATTTACATTCAAGGAGTCAATTACATCTTGTTGAGTTTTTATAATTCGTAAACAAGTGTGATTTAATAAAGATTGCAGTTTTACTTTGGCGCTTATTTCAGTTACCGTTATATCTTCAGGGTAACACATTTTCTTGGCTCCTTTAAGTTTTTCGTAAGATGGTAAAAAAGAAGAGCTATTCACAATTGCAACACTTCTTATAATGCAATATTGGTGTTTAGAAAGCTTTGCTTCCATTAGTATGGAAAGAGCTGTTTCAGCACATAGTTCAGATGTTTGTGAAATTTAGGACAATTTAAGGCTTTCTATATAATTTGCGACTCGGTGTTGAATGGTGGAAGGTAAATCTTTAACCGTAACTCCAGCATTGCATGCTCTTGAAGCCCGAAGACTCATCTGAGAAGCAAATGCTAACTCGGATGAACTAAATGTCGAACGCATTTCCTCTGTTTTTCGCCGTTTCGTTCGCTCACTTGCTTCATCAAAATTCAAAGGTGGTCGACCCATTGCACTATTGCTTTTTTTCTCTTTGTTTCGTGCTTGAACAATCTGAAATTATTTAAAAGTTTAGTTAATATAAAAAAGTTTAAAACTTTAAAAGAGATTACTTTACTAATTAGATTACTAAAAGAGATAAACTTTAAAAGAGAGCATTAAATAACTTACACAAATATTTGTTGAGGCTTTTAACCAAGTGTCATGTGTCTTCAAAAATATTTTTTTTGTTCGGTTACTACTTTTCCATTTTATTTTTAATTTTGTCAATACATTTTTTAGTTTCT